AGACTAAAAGAGAATAAAGAAAAAATGAATTCATGCAGAAGAAACACTTCTCAAAATCTCTTTTCTGGATATATAACAATAAACAATTTCTTAAAGTATGTCAAGTTTGCATGATTGAACAGAGTACTCTACCTCTTTTTATGTATGTTTTATTATCTATTGTTTTTCTGTATTTTAACTTAATCTTCATGTCTCGACGGATAAAAGTAACAATAAAACAATAAAGATCCTGTAGAAAGATTAATACTTTAATGAAGCTTAATTTCTCTGCCTCTGTCTGGTGCATTTAGGTTTAACTGGGGTTCTTTTTCCAGTAAAGTTAAAAATTTATCAAAGACTACTAGAGTATATGGAAGAGGATTAGGGCCACTGTAAAAAAAAACTAATAATTTTTTTACATTTCACTGATTTTTTTGTTTTACTTTAGTATAATATGGGGGGGGTCATAATTCTGAGAAAAAAGTCTGAATCCTGATTTTTTTCTGAGTCTTTTCTCCCATATTATAGTGAAACAAAATATAAAAATCATTTAACTTTTTTTTTTTCAGTGGCTGTTATAGATTTTATGATAATTTTACTTAAATAAAAGAAAAAAGTATGGTGCAGTAAATTTACTATTTTGTGTTTTTCTTCTTCTAGACATAATGAAAGATTGTGAAAAAAAAGAAAAAAAAAGAAACAGTTTATCATAAATGACTTCCATAATGTAAACTGGTGTCACCTCGTCGATGCTCAGGACAGGCTGGGAACTCTTCTTCTTCGCCTCGCTGGCAGCCAGCACAGAGCCGCCCATCAGAGCCGTTACACCGGGAGCCGCGGCAAACAGCGACACCTGGTGGATTACACACGCATGACAGCAACACGCAGATGCGAATCTAACATCCCCTGGCGTTTTTTATCTCCAGTTTTATTAGAAAACTCTCCGACAAGTACGCGAAAATAATTTACACAGTGAAATATTCAAACATTTACATCCGGGCTCCTTAGGATTTAAGAGTTAGCGAAAGGAGCTAGCTACATGCTAAAGTCACCGCGGAAAATATTGGCAAGACGATCTACAGAGAACGAAATTAGACCCTCATATCGCAGCAATTATGAAAAGGAAATGTAGGCTGTAAAGACTTCTAGAAAGACGTTCAGTATAGTTACCAGTTTGACAGATGACATTCTCATCCAGAAGACTTTTCCTTCACTACGGCAAGCCACGAGGGATTTGCGCATGCGTGTTTTGAGAAAGGGAAAAATTACATTTACGTGACTTTTTATTTCAGATGGGTTTTTTTTTTTTTTTTTTTTTTTTACACTTTTAAATATATTATTAAGGCTGTTTTTTTTTTTTTTTTTACTTTTTATTTAAGATTTTTATTTCTGCGTTTTTAAAAATAAATTTGTTGAGTGAAGCATTTTTTCAATGCCTCCACAGTATTTTTGCTTTGCTTGTTGGCAGATCTTTTCTTTTTATATTTATATTTAAAGCCATGCATAGTTTAATGCCCGTTTGAAGAGATTTTATCACCACTGCACAGTTTGCACAGCACTAGCTGCAAATAATTGCATTTGAAGTGATTGTAATTCTACAGAGAATACAAGGGTCAGATCAGTTTGGGTAAACATTGGTTCAGACATTTAAAAGAAAAGAGGAAAGTCCTGTTTCACATCAACAGACCAGCTTCTGAGAAAGTATGATCAAATGGTTTCCTCCTGAACAAGAGCATCACCATCTGTAAAGATATTGTGGAACTGGGCTTTTAAAGGTAGGATTCTTCATTTTCTGGAGCTCTAAGCAGGCCTCCAGGTAATCAGATTTTTTAAAGTGGTGTTCTGGGTGTGTGGTAGAGGTAGAGCACATAGAACACATATGGAGGCCTTCAACACAGCATTCCTGGGTTTAAGTCCTGGCCCTTTACTGCATATCCTCCACATATTCCCTGCTACACCACACATAAAATAAAGGCCAGTTGTGGCACGAAAAAATATGGTGACCTACAGCTTAAGATAACTTTTAAACAATTTGGATTATTCTTTTGTGTTTGGATATTTAACAAAAAAAGGGTAGTGGTGGCCTAGTGGTTAGAGCATTGCACTTGGCTCTCTGAGGATATGAGTTCAAGTCCCACACACTCCCATGTACTGTAACCCTCAGAAAAGACTTAAAGGAATAGTACACCCAAAACATGATTAGCCTTCATTTTCTACATACCCCCATGCTGAACAACCCTCTGGAGTACTTTTTTGATATCTCAAATGAATCTGGAGATCTGGGAGGCTTCTTGCTGTCTGCTGACATTCAAATAATGGAGGTCTATGGCGCCCGAGGCAGAAAGGTCCATAAAAGTCCACAAAAAACGTGTCAATATTCCTCCATACTGCTCGTCCAATGTATTCCAAGTGTCCTGAGTGGGTAGCATCCAGAATTTACTCGAAACGAAGTCATTTAGAATGTTTTTAGAGCATAAACAGTAGTGTATAGGATTTCCTAAAAGCGCCTTCACGAGTCTACGGAACCGCGGCAGACCAAACCAGATGAAAGTGCGCATTCAGCTCGGCAAAGAACTCATGCTCTTCCTCAACACTGAAATCCTCAGACATTTTTCTTTCGTTGTTTCTTTCTTTGCACAGGTAAACGGCACATTTCTTCTTCTACGCTTGCATTATCGGCAGAGCAGACGCTGAATCATGTTTTGGGTGTACTATTCCTTTAAGGGGATGCTGGGTTAGTGGTTAGAGCAGTGCGCTTGTGCTCTGAGAAGGTTGCAAGTACCTGGTTTGATCCGCAAAGTCTCCACTCTGGGTTCCTGAGCAAAAATCCTTAATGCCACACTGCTCACCACCGCTGCACAATGGCAGCCCACTGCTCCCTAAGGGGATGGATTAAATGCAGAGAGTTAATTTCATTGCTCTGTGCTTGTGACAGTGTAATGACAATGAAGTTGAATTCCATTCTAAAATTAAAGATTATATTGTTGTACCAAGTAATTGAATCAGAGTCAGTGAGTCGATGCAATCAACTGGTTTTCCTTAGGTAGAAAACTTTGACAGGATGAAGATGTGTTGTGAATTGATGCTATATAAATGAACTGAATTGGAACTGAATCTAATCAGTATCAGTTTAATCTGTCAAACAGGCTGCATGTAGGGATTTTAAAGGTCCAGCAAGCAGGTGTCAGTATTGAGTGACACAGCATCAATAATTTGGCAATGTGTTGAAAGACTTCATGGCGCCTCATCAACCAATCACAATTTTAAACCATGACTGCAGTTCTATTCTAGAAAGTTTTTGTTGTACATTTTATCCTTATATGAATTAGTCAGAATTGAAAACCAAACAAACGTTTTTCTAAAGACTTTTAAAAGTGAAAAGTCAATTTAAAACAGAGTATGCTTTAGACACTGCTCAAAAAATAAAGAGAACCTGTAAAAATAACAATTCAACTTTTATAAAACTTCTGTGAAATCAAACTGCCCACTCAGTAAGCAATGCTGATTGACAATCAATCCCACATGTTGTTGTGCAAATGGAATGGACAATATATGGAAATTATTGGGGATTATCAAGACATCGGGCAGATGATCCGGTCACTTTTGAATATTAGTGCTTTCACACTCGTGGTAGCATGAGACGGACTGTACAACCCACACAAGGAGCTCAGGTAGAGCAGTTCATCGAGGATGGCTCATCAATGCGAGCTGTAGCAAGAAGGTTGTGTCTGTCAGCGAAGTATCCAGAGGCTGGAGACAGTACAACAGTACAACAGGAGACATGGAGAATGTCGTAGGAGGGTAATAACCCAGCAGCAGGACTGCTACCTCCACCAGGAACAGGGGCACTGCCAGAGCCCTGCAAAATGACCTCCAACAGGCCACAAATGTCTATGTGTTGGCAAAAATAGTTACAAAAAAAATGATTCCATGAGGATGGTATGAGGGCCTGACATCCACAGAAGTGGGTTGCTCTCACAGCCCACCACCATGCAGGATGCTTGGTATTTACCAGAGAACAGGACTGGCAAATTCACCATTCTACAGAGGAAAGCGGGTTCATAACATGCAAGTCTGGAGAAACCATGGAAAGTGATGGAAAGTGACTCTGTTTCCAAGTTTGAAGACGTTTCCCTTCCCATCCACAAAGACTTTTCAATTCGAAATAGCATTGAGTTTGAGGCTCTTATACATTAGCCCAACAAATCCTTTAGAAAAGATAAAAATTGGAACGGACCAATAGGTCCACCCCTTCGGAATGGGTGTCGTTTGGCTTTAAACGTCCTGGGTTCCTTCTAATGTAGGACAATGCTAGACCTCATGTGGCTGAAGTGTGTCAGATGAAGGCATTGAAGCTATGGACTGGCCTGGCCATTCCCCAGACCTGAACCCATGTTGCACCACTGACCTGTCCAGTAGGTGGACCCTTTAGTCCAGGTCTGGGAGCAAATCCCTGAGGAGATCATCTGTCACCTCATCAGGAGCATGCCCAGGTGTTTTAGAGAGTTCATGCAGGCATATAGAGGCCACACACAATACTGAGCCTCATTCTGACCTGCTCTAAGGAAATTAAATCAAACTTAGATCAGATTGTAGGATTTTCCACTTTAATTTTGCGTGCAACTCCAAATCCAGGCCTCTAGTGGTTAATAAATTGGATTTCCATATGATGATTTTTGTTGTCAGTATATTCAACTTTGTACAAAACAAATTATTCAATATGAACATTTAATTTATTCAGATCTGACTGTTCCCTTTATTTTTTTGAGCAGTAGGAACAGAATTAGAAATACTATGTTAGAGTCTAAACCTGATCGCTTTTCTGATTGGTTGAAAGATTAGGACATTTTTGTGAATTTTAATTCAAACAAAAAAAAAACTACTGGAGTTACATAATAACATGTCCCTTATTATAACTAGATAAATCCATAAAAGTAAATATTTAATGGTTAAATCTTTTAGATATAATCAACAAATGGCTTAAAAATGAATTAAACCATTAGAAAAGACAGGTAAACAGGTACAGCTTGACCAGTATGAACATTTATTTCTGGAAAGAAGTTACAAATCGTTTCCAAAGAGTTTCTACTCAGAGTAAGATATGTTATTCAGATTTATCGATTCCCCCTGCAGACAGTTGAATAAGCATTGTGAGTTTTTGTTTCTAACATCCTCTCTTCCATTTTCCTTGTGACCGGCTAGAGACTGGTGGACTATAGGATGCTGCTCTGTGTCTGCATGGTCCTCAGACAGGGACAGATGGACTCTGTTGGTTACACGTTTCTTCTTCAAACAGCAACATGGAAACCGAGCATTGTAATGACAGAGACATGGTTTATGGGCTTTTTATTAAACCAGCTGCAGAAACTGTGATGAATGTGAAATGTAAAGGGATGAAACACTCAGGAATGTTTGTATAAAAATAAATGCATGAATAAAAGCACCCAAATGATGATTTGAAATGTTCAGAACCAGAGAATGTTTACTCCAAAATTCCTGATGTATAATTCACACCTAGACTACGGTAAGCAAATAAGTTGTACTGAAGAGTTATCTGCATTTATGCTTTTCCAGTTCGCTAACTTTACTGACCCTTTACAAAACAATGAACTAAAAAAACGGGAGCATCCACTTGTAGATCACATGCACTGCAGGGACGGAGATGCCAAACTGCAAAGGACGGAAGACGACGTACAAAAATATTTGAACAGAACCGGGCTTTCAATGAAACATTCCTAATACTGTTACTGCATAGCTCAGGGGGAAAAAAACCAACATCTTCATAAAATAAATAAATACGCAGCGGACAGATGTGACTGCATCGTTATTTGCTCTAGCCCTTTTCACAGCGCAAAACTAAAATAAAGCTGGTCGTCAAACACAGCTACGTGGCTTATTGAATCAAGGTGTTAGGCTGTTCAAACGTGCAAGCTTTATTCTAAGACAGCAGTGGGATTAAATCTAAAAAAAAAAGAAAACAGTGCTAAAGATAACTTGGTCTGAAATGAAAACAGCTCTCAGTCAGTAAAAACCTACAGAATCTGTTGAAATAAAGGCTGGTAATCATTAGCAGAGGTTAATTACCAATGGACCTCAAACAAGAACATTTTAACGTAGAAAACTGTTTGAAAAAGAAGTTCAAGGTCTGAATTTCAGATCTTTTGGTGAAAAAAATGCTAAATCCTTTATTTTCTTCCACTCAACTAGTCAAACATTTAACTGTTTCTTAATAAAGATGTTTCATTTATTGAACAAGTCGCACAAACATAAAACTGACCCAAAGTACTAAGCAGCTGTATCCAAAACGCCAACCAAATAAACAATCATAAATTAAAATATGAAAATATTAGACTATTCACCAGCATAAAATGCCTCATTTGAAATAAATCAAGATATCAACCTAAATACCTTTGTGTGGACAATTTTAAAGCTAATTTGAATTAAACTTTTTCCCATATCTCATATTTCATGTAATTTAAATGTCATTAAACAACACAAGTCTCTACATAAGTTAAGCACAGTTACAGTATTTGATAATGGTGATTACATTTTTGTTGTTTTTATTTTAAATTTTAACATGTTTTACAGGAAAGAATATCCTACGGTTATAGAGCTAGTCAAGTGAAAGGCAGCTGCTAACCTGAGTGCAGCTAGCTAAAGCTAAAGCAGCTTGTTTTATTTTCATAAATATGCAAGTTAAATTGTACTGTAAAGCATACAAATCTCATGCCAACCTTTTTGTTCTCTTTCTTTTTCAGATGCAATCCTTTAAAACTACACCTATTTAAACAATTTTTGTGCTTTTTCTTGTAAGTTATAAACACCCGTAATCAGCTAATTTGAGGAGAGTAGTGTGAAAGCTAACAGCAGTTAGCTGGAACTGAGGCTGTTATGTTTTATTTGTTTGGTTTTTTTCTGCAGCTATATTGGTTTCATAGAAATGTATTAAATCATTTAATACAATTACAAACCAAACAAGATAAAATTTCTTTGTTTTAAATACAAAATTGTTTCATAGTTTCAAAACACATAAAAGCCAACTGTTGGTTAGCATAAGCTAAAGCTAGGTTTATCAAAAGATTTTCTGCCATTATCTAGCGTTTTAAACTTCACTGAGTGAAAATTATATCAATTTGGTTCTTTTACATAGTCATTTTTGCAGTTAAATTAGTTTATAATGGAAAAGAAATAAAATAGCTTATCAGAGTAACAATTCTACTCGCACCATCTTTCCTTTGTTCTGATGATAAAACTTTGATTTAATCACATTAAATTCTTACATTTATTTGATACATTTTTAACTATTAATCAATGAGGAAACTTCTTTGCAAAAAAAAAGCAAAAAAACGAATAAACGTTTAAAGCTAAATCGATATAAGATAGCTGCAGGGACCAGCTGCTAATGCTAACTTTGGCATATTTTGTTTCAATTTATGCTATGCTAACTAAAATGATAAAAGATTAAATTATGCTGGTTATTTTCTCTGTTATTTTATATAGTCAACTAAAGAATTAGGTATATTCATTTAATTAAAGGCAAATCAAGTCAGAACCAGATGATGAATTAGCTGTGGCTAGCATTAGCTAAAGCCAGGTTATATTTACCAACTTACACATTTTTGCAATGAATTCACTTATATGCTTTGTTAGTAAAAATGTTTTGTAAATGGTAGATATTTTGGTCTTCAAAATATAATTAGGAATACTTTAATAAAGCAATTGGAAAACTAATCAAAGTAGATGAGCTCTTGTTTTTTTTTTTTTTTGCAGACAGAAAGCAATGGTTTAAATTTTGTAGTGGACAGTTATGCTTCTATCACAAAGTGTAAACATGTATCAAGCAGATTTTAAATGGTCATTGATCTAACATTATAATGGTTAGACATTAACGGATGATTTTGTTGATATTTTGAAAAACCTTAGGTTAAACCAATGGAAAAGAACATTTCAAAAAATGCCCTTATAATTTATCCCCGCAGTGAAAACACAAAACAATTTCAGTCAGGTGGAGAATAAATGTTGAGATTCTGCTAATAGAAAATGTTCTTGAATGAGGTCCAGATTTATTGAAATGCCCAAAAATCCCACATCTTATTTCAACCAGGGAACATTTTTCCTTCATTTAAACTCAGAGAGTAATTCTAGACGCAGTGAAATTCCTCCAGCGATACAGTGCAAGCTACACTATTTACACTCACATTATGAACCAATAAAGTGCTGGGAATGTAAACAAAATCAAACGTACAGCAGCTCAGCCCCTAACCTGTGTATTATCTATCATATAATGGATCCCTCCCACACACACACACACACACACACTTTCAAACCGTTTCACAGAAGGCAGCAGGGGAGCGTAGAAAGACACGTGATGCAGTGTTATATATGACCATGAGCACAGTACGCTGGATATCTGGAATCAAAGAGCAGAACTGGGACTAAAAGCTGGAACGCACTGGAAGCAAAAAAAGGGAACCGTAATGAGTTTAAAGCTGGTGGCAGACCACGGCATCAGCAGGATCCGATGCATCATCTGTTGTACGCCTTAAATAGTTTCCTACCGACTGCTTCTTTATATTTGGAGACGGATTATACAATCAGCTACACTACCGAATATAGTGCTATACTTATTGATATTAATTTTGTAGGGATTTAAAGTAGTGGTAATATTTCTGCTAATCTATTTAAAGAAATATCTTGGTGTACGAGCCTCTGGAAGCGAGCGGAGATTTCTGTGACTTGTGAATTTGCTGGACTCGGCCGCTTCCAGTGCGTTTCTGCAGCAAGCCTGACCGGGCCTAAACAGAATTACTGGTGATTATAGACGCAGTCCGTAACACAAACCAGCAGAATGAAACCTGTTTTTTTTTTGTATCCGCCCTGACATCATTTTTTTTCCTTTAACCGTCTGAGAAATTGGTGGTTGTGAAAATGTTCAACTGACTGGTTAAATGGGAGGCCTAGTAAAAGCGCAGGTCGGCTGCCTTCATTGGTAAGGAGGAACGACTCTGCGGCCGCAGCCCCGTTCCTCTCCCTACGGAAAGTGCTGGTCTCTGGTTTAAAAGATCAGGGCATGCCCACCCGGTGGGACGCCTCGGTTCTGGAACAGTCTGTATAAAACGAGCCGCGGCGGGGGAGCAGACCTCAGCTGCAGCGTCTAACGTGCTCCAGCACGTACTCTGGAAAGTGTAGGCTGCAAACCTGCAGACCGTCCAGTTTGCAAGGCATCCTGGGATACTCGTCCTCCTTCCACTTGTTTTCATCGGGGTCGAAGGTGAGGATGGAGTCACTGTAGTGGCCGTTGTAGCAGAGGCCGCCCAGCACCATGATCTGCCTGTCCAACACCGCCACCCCATGGCCGCTGCGCCCGATGGGCATGGAGGCCAGGATGGTCCACTCGTCCGTCTCCGGGTCGTAGACCTCGGTGGACGGGCAGCCCTGTGACTCGAAGGACGCCCGCAGGATTACACACACCCCTCCGAACACGTACAGCTTCCCGTTGTGGGAGATCATCTTGTGGAAGCAGCGTGCGTAGTTCATTTTGGATTTGTTCTCCCAGCAGCTGGCGTGGTTGCCGGGCAGCAGCGAGCCACGGGCCGCGCGCGTCCTGTGAGAGTCCAAGCCACCAGCACCACCACATCCTCCTCCTCCACCGCCGCCGCCACCTGCCTCCCGGCCCGGATCGAACACACACACCTGTTTGGAGGTGGAGGAGGACGTGATGCCACCTGTGATGTACAGTTTGCCGTTTAGGACGGTTCCCTCATGGCCGTATTTATTAACAGGATACGGATCCACAAACTCCCAGCGGTCCTCTGTGATGTCGTAGCGCTCCGTCGAGTAGAACGTCTCATCACGGGTGCGACCTGCCACAGCGTAAATGAACTTTCCGATGACTCCCACGGCGAACTCTGACCTATGAAACAAGGCAGCATAAAGAGACAACAATTGGCTATCTAATTATTAATCGAAAAAATTATCAACAGATTAATCGATTTCCAAAATAATCGTAGTTGCAGCCCTAGATCAGTCAGAACGGATGGAGAACCTCTGAGGACATCGGTTTGACAGTAGAAACCAAACAGGTAAATCATCTATGCTTCCAGATGAAAAGGTCAAAGTTGAGATTGGTCTGACCTGGGAACAGACATGTCAGCCATGCGCAACCACGAGTTCTGCCGAGGGTCGTAGCGGTAAACTTTGGATGAGGCGTGAAACTCTCCGTCGGGCCCCAGCTCCTCTCCGCCCAGCAGGAAGGCAAAGTTGTTGACGATGGCCAAGCAGTCCGGCCTGAGCGGCACCTGAGGACCCTCCAGCTCCCACCACACCTGAGAAACAGAAGCTGCAACGGTTACCAACAGAACTGCCTCTCTGGAACAAAGAGACTCACTGCATCATTCAGCCATGTTAATACAGGTGCAGCACGGCACCACAGTCAGAACAACTACTGATAAGAACTACTGTAAAGAACCAGAAGGAGCCAAAGGAACGAAGGCGGACTCAGCCACCTTGGGACGCTGCAGCAGCAGGATCTTGCTGTTCACCATGCTGTGGCCGATCATCCCCCTGAAGACGGCGGTCTGCGGGCGGACGGAGCGGATGCGGTTGGATCGCGTCTCCATCAGAGGCTGCTGGTTGACATCATGGAAGTAGCTGAGCGCCTGATCCACTTCCTGCCGCAGCTGCCTGGAATACCGGTAGAACTCTGATGTTTTCACCTGAGGAGAAAGAATCAATATCAGCTGGTGGAGTTTGGAGGCTGAGACAAAAGAATTTATTGCAAGAAAAAAGGTTAAAATGTATTTAACGTCCTCAGATGGAGAGATGGAGCTCTGACTGAGGCAACCTCAGTACTAACATTTATATCTTACAAAATCCCAACACACACTCCCCCCAGGGGAACCAACCCACCCCCTGCATAAAGAACTTTCTCACACTTGAACATTTGGAGGAAAAACATGAGTTCATCAAGGCCGTTCACTGTTAGGTTGATATATCTTTCACTGGCCAGATGGATCTTCTCTAAACATCAGTCCTCCCTGATGTTTAGACCATTGGTCTCACCTTCTCAAAGATGTCGGCAGGCGTCATGAGACAGAAGCGGATGGACTGCACAATGGTGTCCGTGTGCCTCCAGCGCCGCCGGTCATGTCTCAGCCAACCCTGGACCGCCTCGTACAGCTCGATTTCTGGGTAGCGGCTCAGAGCGTCGCTGTTCAGGTAGGCCTGGTTCACCAAGACAGAACAGACAGATGTATCATCTACCCCTGAACTGGTTTAAAATGGTGATATACACAAAGAGGCATACTAATCAAAAACTTGCTGTTTTGATAAAGTTTATAGTTAAAAACAGGGTCATGTTTGCTTAGTGTCTGAGTGAGTAGAGGAGGTAGGCCGAGGTACAATAATCAACCCTGATACAGTGGGAAAAAATTTAGTCCAGACAAACATTTCTCCTTAACTCAAACCTTCTTATACCCCATTCAAAATAGTCGGGTTATCCTGAACTATTTCCTATATTGATGCTGCTATACATTTAGATTGCTGGAGGACATAGCGACCACCTTTCATTATTTAGCTACATTCTATCAACTTAATTCAATCTTTGTTAGTTTATTCTTTTCTCGTCACAGTAGCTTCATCTGGTCTGTTCCAGTTTGGCCATGAACCATCCTGGAGAGAAATACCAGGGTCTGTTTCAATAAGCATGTAAAAAAAATCTCAGATTCAAATCCTCAACTCTAAATTGGTCTAGCCTAAGGATGGAAACTCTGAGTTCTTGAATTCACAATGGCTGCTGTGAGTTAGTTCAGTCCACTCTGAGTTGAACACTTGCGTAACAATTATGAAAATCCATTATCAGTGGCTTTGAAGTCCTCTATGGCAGGCAGTTTTAACATTTATTAGAAGCACTCTCCTCTCTCTCCATTTCTACTTCAGTAAAATTGGATTCTTCCAGGTAAGAATCACATTCCTAGATGATTTTCTAAATTACATTGTTGCAGCAGAAACTGCATTTCAGAAAGTAAAAAAAAACAAAATTATACTAGTAAGTAGGGCTGGGCAATAATTCAATAACGATATATATCGATCGATAGACGTGTGGCGCAATAGAAAAAAAGAGGGTCGATAAAAGTTCGATAAAAAAAGAAACGCAGTTTTCCTTCCTTCTCATTGTAGCCTAGCATGTAGGTTTATGCTAGTCACTGCTTCCTCCTAACCAATCACAACCGCGGACCCAGGCACGCCGTCACAAAGCCCCGCCCTCTCAAATCACAACACAGAGCACATGAAGCTGTCGCAGCAAGGAGAGGCGGAGGAAATTGTTTCAAAGAAGGGTTTTTGTAGTTCGGCAGTCTGGCAGTATTTCAGTCATGGCAAGTCGGACAAAAAACATTTATTTGTTATATTTATTTTGGTCACTTTTCTGGTCACTTTAGTTTACTCTTTGTCAGTATTTAATAACATAACTCAGGTCTCTTAAGTTATTTTTCTTTAAAACAATTCTGTTATGGTTAAAAAAGTTGGTTAAATAAAGATTTAATTCAAAGTCTGTGTTTGTGTTTTTATTTAAAATTAACTCATTTAGCAATATTATAAAAAGTCCAGGCAGAGCTGCACATAAAATATGGTTTCAAATCTTTTCAATTATTATCGATATCGATCAATATGCATTTTTTTTTTATCGATAAGCTTTTTTTCCTATATCGCCCAGCCCTACTAGTATCGGTAAGAATTAAGTTTTACATACCTGGATATGTTTACACATTATAAGTGGCTGTTTTAATATTTCTCAGCTTGAATGAATATGTATTTATGATATCTAAAATACTATTTTTCATAGTCAAAATATAAAATTGTCATTTTGACAATTAATAAATGTATAAATGTTTTGTTTTTTTCAGATATCAGAAATACGTATTCAGTTAAATTGATACAAATTAAAACGACCTGCCATAAGCTTTTTGTGACCATGATAACATTACAGGCAAAACTAGTTTAGTGCTTGAATGGTAGTGGATCCATCTATTTGGGTGAAATCATCTATCAGCAGGTGAATATAGAGCATAAAAACATTGTTCTAATGGATAGAACCTGTGTATCATCTCATGGGGTTCCTCCTCATGTTAATTCTGACTTCCATCACACACTAAATACTAACTGGCTGTGAAGGCGCAGTAGGTTGGCGCACACGACCCATACATTGAATCCCACCTGTGGTCTTTTGCCGCATGTCTCTTCCCCTCTCTCATAACCCCTTTCCTGTCAGACTACTGTCCATAAAATTGAAAAATGAAAAAAAAAAACTTTTAAAGCTATGGATTCCTTCACTCTGTTGTTTAAACAGCCAAACATGTTTGATAGATGTGATGAAGAAAAAGACTTCCTCAGAGAGATGAAGGTTACAGAACAAACGCATGGATCAAGCTTCATGTTAAGCTATCAAACCTGGAGTCTCTCCAGACTGAGGTAGGACAGGAAGTCGGATCGGCTCATGAGAGGGACAAAGTTGTCAAGGAGGAAGTTGTCGAGCTGCTCCTGGACGCCCTCCACGCCGACGCTAAAGTCCTCCAGGAGGCGCATGACCTCAGCACAGTTCTCCAGACAGATCTTAGCCAGCAGGAAGGAGCAGCAGAACTCCACCGCCTCCGTCAGCTGGACGTACATGGCCGCCTGCAGGCACAGCATGAGTTTTTCCTCAGTCAGCACTGAGATAGAGTTTCGCCTCAACACGGGTCAACATAGATGCGACGGTACCTGCAAGATCTCCTGGACGGTGGGCATGCTGAGCTCCAGAGCGCCGTAGTACATGAATCGGAGAATGTGGCCGAAGCCGGCGGCTGTCAGCCCTTTCATGTGGATCTTATCCTGGTCCCGCTCCCTCATGTCGGCCGTGAACATGACCCGGAAATAGTCGCTCTGGGTGGCCAGCAGCGCCTTGTGGGCCTGTCAGTGGAGTCAATAAATCTTATTTAACTCAAAGACTTCTCCTCCAAAGAAACTAATGCATTTGAATTCAGTTAGAATCCAACTAAGTATTGTCATTTTCAGGAAAAGAATTACAATCTTCTTTTTTGTTTATCTGTAATAAACAGTAGCATCTCTTTTTATTCCTCTATAGTCACAATATGCAGTCTAAAGCAGGCATCCCTAAAGAGGGCCGCTGTCCTGCAGGTTTTAGAGGTTCCTCTGCTTTAGAACAGCTGATTCTGATGATTGCAGTTCAGCAAAAGCCATAAAACCTGCAGGACAGCTGCCCTCGAGGACCGACTTTGGGGATGCCTGCTCTAAAGGCTGTTTAAAAGATGGCTAAGTTGTTTACAGTAATTAATGCTAATAGTGCTAACTGTACATATTGCTAAAATGCGATGCTTAAGTTACAATGAAAACTTCCCCATTATGTTGTCCTAGTCTTTCAAAATATAAGAAATAACTCGCTTTACAGCAAATCGTCTCAAACAAATTGTGAGGACACCTCTGTAGCTAATATAAAAAATAAATGAAGTAAAACATCAGAGCTGGAAAAAGTGTAAAATATAAGTGTTGTTAATATAATTGGTGAAGATAAATATAATCTGTACAAATCTGTATCAGCAAAGAAATCAGTTAATCAAACTGATCTAAAGTCTCTTCAGGGAAAGACTGCTGCACCTATGGTGCACAAAGCAGCTCTGTCACAGATCTACGGTGGCTGAGAAGTGCAAAACACATTTACAATTAAAAAACACATTAACAAATAAAAAACAAAATAACATTTGAAGAAACAAAATTATATTTATGAAACAAATGTATTTTTGAAAAAAAAAAGTTTAAATTTTTAAAAACAAATTTACATTTTAGGAAACAAATTCACATTTTAAATAAGTTAGATTTTAGGTGAGAGAAAGTTTCATTTTAGAGAAAAAAAATACACTATAGGGAAACTAATTTACATCTAAAAAAAAATTGACCGTTCGGAAACACTTGTACAAGTGCAAAGACAAAACTGCAAGCGGCAAAACACAGTTACATAGCCAAAAACAAATTAACAAAAGACGGCTACACGGAAAGGGAATGTCCCAGTGGCCGGATGTGACGTCACGATTACTCTGACTTGTAGTACAAACAGCTCAATCTGTAGTCCTCCTGCTTCACGTGAAAAGTCAGCGGTGATTTTATTATTGTGGAGCAAATTTCAGCCAATTTACACCATTTTGTTCTTCGTGCGGACGGTCTCTGGAACTTTTACGGGACACGGACCAGGTGGCAGGACCAGCGGAACTGCTGCAACGCAGCCACTGCCATGAATTGAGCTCGGCCCTGCTGCTTGGTCCTGCCACCTGGTCCTTGTCCCGTAAAAGTTCCAGAGACCACAATAAGGGCAAAACATTGTTCGGTTAGCGTAAACTTAAGAAAAACTGCTTCAGTGCAATTCTTTCCATCTAAAATCGCCGCTGACTTTTCACGTGAAGCAGGAGGACTACAGATTGAGCTGTTTGTACTACAAGTCAGGGTAATGGTGACGTCACATCCGGCCACTGGGACATTCCCTTTCCGTGTAGCCGTCTTTTGTTAATTTGTTTTTGGCTATGTAACTGTTTTGCCGCTTGCAGTTTTGTCTTTGCACTTGTACAAGTGTTTCCGAACGGTCAATTTTTTTTTAGATGTACATTTGTTTCCCTATAATGTTTTTTTTTTTTTCTCTAAAATGAAACTTTCTCTCACCTAAAATCTAACTTATTTAAAATGTAAATTTGTTTCCTAAAATGTAAATTTGTTTTTAAAAATTTAAACTTTTTTTTTTTCAAAAATACATTTGTTTCATAAAATATAATTTTGTTTCTTCAAATGTTATTTTGTTTTTTATTTGTTAATGTGTTTTTGAATTGTAAATGTGTTTTGCACTTCTCAGCCACCGTACAGATCCTTCCTCCCCGCTGCTGTTATGCTACGATTCCTAGTGACAGCGCACCGCCGGTATGTTGGGGTCTGAGCGGCTCCAATAGCTAAATAATATTAGAAGGCAGGATGGTAATCTGGATGATTTGACTGCACTGATTAAGTTTTCAGGCAGATTTTCTCACTGAAAAACATATTAAAACTAGTTTTTATCCACTGATCACAGCAAATATAGCTGCCATTGTTAGAGGGAAAGAAAGGATAGGTTAGCTCCGCCCAACGTGTATCAAACCAACTTTTCCATCATGCAGCTAGAGCAGCAGAGATGCTTCATGCACCCGTCAGAGCTGAACATGTACAAGCATCAAAAATGAAGCAGCATGCACGTTTCTGCTGCTCCTGCTGCTTGAGGTGTGAACGTAGCATAAGACTTCTAAAGCTCCCAATAGGCTTAAGCTCACTGTGTACCTTGCACATGGTTTTCTGCTTTGTAAGGTTTTATTTTAAAAACAATGATTGTATGTGCAATTCTTAAATGAGATCTTTAGGTCCTTTTTTATAGTAGGGATTTTTCAATCAAAAATGTGGTTTTTTGTTTGTTTATAATAGGGTTTTTGATTAAAAGGAAATCAAGATTAAGTGATTATGGATCCTCCAGCTAACTTCATTAAAACTCCCAAAAGGCTGTAAAAGTGCTGAAAGCCTGAGTTCCTATTAGTCATAGTTAAAGGAAAAGTCCGCTAATATTCAGAATTCAAACTTCTGAAATTACTTTAAATAGGAAATTATTACATCCTGTTCAATAAATGATAAGTGCTTTTAATTAAGACAAATTTTCATTTGAATGTGCTTTATTGGAGACATCTATGTTTGTCAAAGAACACTACTTGTGCCTTCAATATGGACATTTCAAATTGAATTTTGGCATGTATTTGCTGGGGTACATTTTGAAAAATAAATCTCAAATGTTTTTTTCTTTTTCATTTTAATTAAGTAAAAGGATGAGCAGTGTTGAAGAAAATGCAAATGCAAATAAGATGATTGATTACTAATTTCATTTATGAGTCAAACAATGCAGCCACATTCCTAAAATGAAAAAGCATTTCCAGAAATGCTTTTTCATTTGAAATATGGTAACGATTTGCTTCCATACTTCAACTCAATGCCCATAGGAAGACGTTATCTGGATATAACCTAACGGAATATCTTCAGAATATCTCCAAATGACACAAAACTCATATGGGTGAGTAGAACACGATGTAATAACGTAAAATCAAGGGCCCAATGTAAAAGAAACGGTGTTCCCCTTTAACTGAGGTAATATTAGTTGAAGGTTGTGGTCCAATTGTTTGTTTTACTCGTTTTTTCATTTCCATCTGCTTTTATTTTCCTTCTATTGTTTAATTCATGTAAAGCTTTTTGAATTGTCTTTATACTGAACTCTACTATACAAATAAATTTGCTTTCATCCTTTCCTTACTCTTGTGTGAACTTGTCATTTGCCTTGTAGCCAATGCCACACCTCGATCCCTCCACTCAATAAGGAAAAACAGCACATTTTAATATATTCTAACTTTATCTGCTAAGTTTAGTCAGCAGGTTTTACTAACAGATACCAAGGTTACCTGGAAGTGGTGCTCCTCTATGAGCAGCGTGACATCCAGCAGCAGGCGCTCTTCGTAAAGTGCACGGAAACCGGACGACACGCTCCCATCATGCACCTGGGACAGGTACACCTCCACATCTCCCCCCGACATAACACACCTGAAGGTGTGAGGAAACCAAAGCATCAGTGAGTCAAACTGGAGAAAAATAAATTCAGGGGCTCACAAACTGCAAAGGTCTCTTTGAGATGAAGGTAGTTTTTGTGTGATCGCTGCAGCAGCTGGAGTGATATTTGATGAGATGGCCAGCACTTCATCCGTCCCAGCTCACCAAACATTTGAGCTTCACAGACACACAGTCTGAAGGAGAACTACCAGCTCCTCGCCTCATTCTATATGGAAATGTGCAGCAATGATCGCACAAAAACCCAACATTAAAACACACAAATATCCACAAACACTCACCTCTGATTGGCCACGGGCATGTCAGAGGGGGTTGTCCGAGCCAATCAGAGGACAGTGCCCCTTGTGTCCTGTAGATGCTAACAAACTCCCTTTTGTGAGCGTCAATCACCTGAACGACAGAGCGTTAAAAACAGCGTTAAAAAGCAACGTTACCGGGTCACAGCGCGGCTGAACGTGCAGGTGGAGCATGTCTGCACATGTTCAGCCGGTCTGCTAATGACAACAGCTTCAATAAAAATCTAAACAAACTTGCTAAATATTTCAGTCAGAAAACAATGTTAGGGTGTAGAAGGTAGTTATAGTCAGAATTAAAAAGATGATATCAGTTTAATATGAAAATTATCATGTAGCTTATTAAATCAAAGTCATTTCAGCAGATTAAAAAGCCGTTTTAATAATTAATGGATGTTTTTAGCAGCAAAATACAAGAACAATGATCAAAACTGCAGAGGATCTATCCTGGAGCTTCCCCTTAAAGGAATAGTACACCCAAAACATGATTAGCCTTCATTTTCTACTCACCCCCATGCTGAACAAAACTCTGGAGTACTTTTTTGATATCTCAAATGCATCTGGAGATCTGGGAGGCTTCTTGCTGTCTGCTGACATTCAAATAATGGAGGTCTATGGCGCCCGAGACAGAAAGGTCCATAAAAGTCCACAAAAAACGTGTCAATATTCCTCCATACTGCTCGTCCAATGTATTCCAAGTGTCCTGAGTGGGTAGCGTCCAGAATTTACTCGAAACGAAGTCATTTAGAATGTTTTTAGAGCATAAACAGTAGTGTATAGGATTTCCTTAAAACGCGCGCCGGCGCGTTCACGACTCTACGGAAACCGCGGCAGACCAAACCAGATGAAAGTGCGCATTCAGCGTCTGCTCTGCCAATAATGCAAGCGTAGAAGAAGAAATGTGCTGTTTACCTGTGCAAAGAAAGAAACAACGAAAGAAAAATGTCTGAGGACTTCAGTGTTGAGGAAGAGCATGAGTTCTTTGCCGAGCTGAATGCGCTGGTTTGGTCTGCCGCGGTTTCCATAGCGTCGTGAACGCGCTTTCAGGAAATCCTATACACTACTGTTTATGCTCTAAAAACATTCTAAATGACTTCGTTTCGAGTAAATTCTGGACGCTACCCACTCAGGACACTTGGAATACATTGGACGAGCAGTATGGAGGAATATTGACACAGTTTTGTGGACTTTTATGGACCTTTCTGCCTCGGGCGCCATAGACCTCCATTATTTGAATGTCAGCAGAAAGCAAGAAGCCTCCCAGATCTCCAGATGCATTTGAGATATCAAAAAAGTACTCCAGAGTTTTGTTCAGCATGGGGGTGAGTAGAAAATGAAGGCTAATCATGTTTTGGGTGTACTATTCCTTTAAGGACTGCAGAATATATTCTTTCACCAATAAGGAGCACATTTATACATCTATGTGTTTATGAATGAATCTGTCCATCTAATCGTCTTATTTCAGTTTACTATGGAGTTCCACAGGGCTGAGCGTTCGGGAGAGTTTACTTTTCAGGAGCAGTCATTCCCAGTCGAATAGCAGCCCAGTTCCCTCCAACTCCCAGCCACTGGAGTCACCCCCTAATGCATATTTTTCACTCTGACTCCACCCTTTCACTGAATCACAGAGTCTGACCTGGACATGATGCTTCTCTTTAGGTCTTAATGCCCACAAATAATGACAGAATATTTTAGAACAAAGATTGATGTTTAAAAAGGAATCGTAGGGGACCAGCCAAGGACCCATCAAGGAAAGTGGGGACATTTTAAATGGCTACTACTGTAAATAACAGTTTGGTTACGATTTTTAGATAAACATAATCAATATGTAATGATATTCAAGCGACGATTACAGCAGGTATTTCTAGGTCGTTTTTTTTTTTTTTTTGCATTGGCTGATGCGTGCATATGTTAGCTGATTAATTAGTGTATTGAACAGCCATGCCTGGAGATCATGTGAACGTGTATTGTTGCTCCCTTCATTTGCTATCCATCGTTTTATATTTTTTTAAATTGAGATCTGTGTAACATTTGTTAGAACTGGATTGGCTCTAAGATTGGGTCCAATAATATCAGCAGCACATCCTGAGCATCGGACTGATGTCAGAAAAAAAAAATTAAAAGAAACAGTATTAAAAAAAGCTGTGTGAGTCGATTCTGATATTCAGGTAGATTTATTAGACATGCACACTGAAGTCAGGTTGTGACTGGGATTAGCAGATCTTCTGCTTACTATAAGACAAAACCCAGATCCCATTGATCCGTTTGTCCATCCCAGTCATCTTTATCTCTGTAATCCTGTAGTTCTCAAACATCCGTCCACTAATAGTTATTTTAATTCCTCCTACTCACCATTTATCTCTCGGTTCACTCTGTCCCGCCTCCATCTTATTTCCCAGCCGTGCATTCATTAGAGGCCGGCACTTTTTCTATCTTTATCGCGATAAATGTCTCCTTGTGATAAGAATTTTGATTTAAAATAAGAGATAAATTGTCAGGGCTGCTCAGTGGAGCAGTGGATAGCACTGCTGCATGGCAGCAAGAAGGTTTTGAGTTCGATTCCCCGCCCGGGCTCTTTCTGCATAAAGTTTGCATGTTCTCCCTGAGCATGTGTGGGTTCTCTCAGGGTACTCCAGTTTCCTCCCACAGTCCAAAATCATGACTGTTAGGTTAATTGGTTTCTCTAAATTCTCCTTAGGTGTGAGTGTGTGTGAATGCTTCTTTGTCCTCTGTTTCCCTGCAATAGACTGGCGACCTGTCCAGGGTGTCCCGCCTCTCACCCATTGACAGCTGGAGATCCAGCTGACCCCACACGTGTTGGAAAATGGATGGATGGATAAAGGGTCAACAAAATTATTTTTCTTCTTTTGTTTTCCATTTGGGGGTTGAAAAAGGTGAAGAATATGATTATGTGTGGTCACTGTGGGATGTTTGGCGACATAAATCACACTTTTTCTTGCCAATATGAGGGGATGTGACCTTAGAACTGGAGCAATATGTTTTACAACAATAACATCTTTTATTGTGTCATTAAAAATTGAGAAAATGAATGTTCAGATCATTTAAACAGCAGGCCACAGACTAACAAACAGCTCTGAAAGTTCATGAAGTAGTTAATGTAGGGTTTTTTATGCGATTGTTTCTGATATGTTGGTCATTAAAGCAGCTCCGCCTGCTGATCTGCTTCTAGGATGGTGTGGCTACGCTGAACTAAGCAGATGGAGCTGCGGCATGGACAGGAGACCCAGGAGTGGGGAGCAGCATATGGGAACGCATCCTTTATACGTCATATTTTTCTGCCAAGTGGTCAGGATTGATCTTCATCTCATAAAAAAAGCATTTTTAATCATTTGTTCCTCAAGCTTTTATGGTGATTCTGCATATGCTGGTTACACACACACACATTCACACAGACATAAGTAAAAAATAAGTATTTCTTTTACCATTTATGCTACAGATGATCAGTTTCACAAATTTCAAATCACAAAAATATGGTTGCAGTCCTAAAAAATACGACCAATTAAACCTTTTTTTCCCTTCATCCAACAAAGAAAACAGCAAAGAAATCAGAAAATACTGACGGACAGAATGAGCAGCCTTGTATTTAGAGGGTGATGTGCGTGTTGCCAGGTGGGGCGTACCTTTTAGAGCCTGGGCGAACGATCACAGGCTGTGACGGCTGAGCGCTAAGGGGCCGCTCGCATTTCCTGTGTTTATGTTTCCCCGGCTCTGACAGAAAGGGCAAAGAAAGAGAGAGATCAGGGCATGCTGATGCGTCCCATAACACCGTCTGGCATCAAGTTAAAGGAATAGTACACCCAAAACATGATTAGCCTTCATTTTCTACTCACCCCCATGCTGAACAACACTCTGGAGTACTTTTTTGATATCTCAAATGCATCTGGAGATCTGGGAGGCTTCTTGCTGTCTGCTGACATTCAAATAATGGAGGTCTATGGTGACCGAGACAGAAAGGTCCATAAAAGTCCACAAAAACGTGTCAATATTCCTCCATACTGCTCATCCAATGTATTCCAAGTGTCCTGAGTGGGTAGCATCCAGAATTTACTCGAAACAAAGTCATTTAGAATGTTTTTAGAGCATAAACAGTAGTGTATAGGATTTCCTGAAAGCGCGCGCCTGCAAGTTCACGACGCTACAGAAGCCAGCAGACCAAACCAGCGCATTCAGCTCGGCAAAGAACTCATGCTCTTCCTCAACACTGAAGTCCTCAGACATTTTTCTTTCGTTGTTTCTTTCTTTGCACAGGTAAACAGCACATTTCTTCTTCTACGCTTGCATTAGCGGCAGAGCAGACGCTGAATGCGCACTTTCGTCTGGTTTGGTCTGCCGCGGTTTCCGTAGCGTCGTGAACGCGCATGTGCGCGCTTTCAGGAAATCCTATACACTACTGTTTATGCTCTAAAAACATTCTAAATGACTTCGTTTCGAGTAAATTCTGTATGCTACCCACTCAGGACACTTGGAATACATTGGACGATCAGTATGGAGGAATATTGACAAGTTTTTTGTGGACTTTTATGGACCTTTCTGCCCCGGGCGCCATAGACCTCCATTATTTGAATGTCAGCAGACAGCAAGAAGCCTCCCAGATCTCCAGATGCATTTGAGATATCAAAAAAGTACTCCAGAGTGTTGTTCAGCATGGGGGTGAGTACAAAATGAAGGCTAATCATGTTTTGGGTGTACTATTCCTTTAAATCAGTATGAGAGTGAAAACTGTTTGGATGTTAAACCACACAGCTGCAACGTGATAGGATTGTAGGGTACAGAGGTTTGAAAGAAGTACAACTGACTCTCAGTTTTAAAATATTTCTAGCAGCTGACCTGATTTTTGTGTTTTCTCCATAGAAAATGCTCCTGTTTCAGTTCCTCCTATGTATTAGAATAAATTACAAACCTGTTTTTGCCTTTAAATGTGTGTATTGTTTAGATGTAGACATAGAAAGTACCCCTGGCTCAGCGTTTCTGTCTTTAAAGGTATAGAGGTACAGACAGTCAGCTCACCTTTCTCACCACAGTTCGTTGAAAATGGCCGACGGTCATAAGAGAAAAAGTGTCTATGAATTGTATGAGAAGAAAAGGGCTCAGAAGAGACAGATATGTCCCAGAATGCTTTGCACAGAGAGCTCTCCTTGCAAAGCATCATGGGATTCGTTGCCACAGCGGCCCTCTGTCGCCACAGGCTGTCGCTACCCTACAGCGGCGACTAATGACAAAGATGGTGCATTCACCATGCAGTGAAGGAGGAGGTATGTGACCAACGGGGAGCAGAAAGCAGTGATCTGTCTGAACAGCCAGTTTGCTATAAACTCCACTATATAGTCCCCGCTTCTATGAGCTATGAGAACAGCACATTTTAAACAGGGAGAAACGGGCCCATGCATGCTGTTGCACACGTATTTTGTTTAAAGTGGACCTTAAACACTGACATAACGCTACTATGAAACATCTCCAACCACAGCTTATCTGTGATCAATGTCGTCTAGGCGGAGCAACTGAGGCAAACATCTTTTACTACAGCTATTAATACGGTCAATCTGCACCTGCTTAGGGCTATGTTGGTTACAGATGTTCCTTTCCCCTGTCGCCACATCCTTGCTCAGGACGCGACAGCTGTGGAATCAGAGCGTCAATCACATTAAAAATATCTTCTCAAATAAATCCAGAAAGACAGTACTTAAAATCATGTCATCTTATCTTCAACAAACTGGACTTAAGGAAACATAAATACGATCAAGTAGGTGGCGATAATGCTCCATTTGGTTGCAAGTCACCAGTAAAACAAGAAGAAGAAGAAGAGCATCACTCAGCTGGGCTATCTTCAATAGCTTTCCTTTGAACCAGCTGTCATAAAATGATTGATGTTGAAATTTCTGTTTGGCTGTGACTCCATCCTGGAGAGAAATATCAGCTGTGCTGCTGCCATCAACACCCTTGTTTATAGATGTTGGAGATTGGGCTGTTTTTCCAGTGTAGTTCTGTTTCTCTGACTGTGACTGGCTGGATGTGCTCTCTTCATCCTCTGACATGGGAGCTGGCCCTGAGCTTGTCTGCCTGGCTGTGTGTTTCCTGGATGGGGTCGCCTTTTACAGCTTCTTTTTCTATGTCTGCTTCTGTCTCCTTGAACCCCAGTCGGCCTCAGCAGATGGCCGCTCACACTGAGCCTGGTTCTGCTGGAGGTTTCTTCCTGTTAAAAGGGAGTTTTTCCTCTCCACTGTCGCTACAAGCATGCTTAATGTGAGGGATTGCATCCATGTCATTGAGTCGATGCAATCAACTGGTTTTCTTTAGATAGAAAACTTTAGATTAATCTAACTGGATGATCTGGTGAACTGTAAAGTGCCTTGAGATGACATGTGTTTTGAATTGGCACTATAGAAATACACCGAATTGATTTGAAATCTGTATAACTGGCTATTAAATTGTCTTTAAAGAGACATCTATTGTTATTTGGCAGAATATAAATGATAAATTAGGCAGAAATTCATTCTGAAGATATTAACTTGAAGAGTAATGAGAGTGTTTCATTTATCAACCAGAAAACCAATGTAATCCAGAAAGGAAGCACGTGGTTTGACCCTGAATGAAAGGTGGAAAATAAGAACAGGTGCAGTCACACCTGAGGCTGGATGCATTCCAGGGAACAGCTGCTGTCACCACTAAAGCTGAGTTAGTGGGTGTTTGGGTCACATCTGTGTTCAGAGCGATAAGCAGCTGTGCTGTGGGTTAAAGAGGAACGATCTGTTTTCATTTCAATCCTCCAAAACAAAAGGCTCCACACAGCGGCTAGCTGCCACATCAGCTGCTTCCAGCCCGCTGCTCTACGGCTCAGTCCTCATTAGGGGGGACAGGGTTTAGCTTAGCGGCTAAAATCCAACCGTCTCACCTCGGCGGTGCGAATCCCCACAACCCCTCTTGGACCAGGCAGCTCTGGCTCCGTCGGACATGAAGTAAGGGGTTCGGCTCCGGGATCAGGAGAGAGGAGGGCAGCGGGGGACTGCCTGGTTCCCACGGTGGTCCATGTGACGGGCGAAGGGACCCCCTACAAGGCTCCGAATTAGACGGCTACAGGAGCACAGCAGCCCACAGGATTTACGGACTCCATCTTCTGCACCGGCGTCATTTCCCTTCTGGGCGGAACTGAGGGAGCTGCGAAGATCCTCTATTTTGAGCGATGCATCACTACGTTTAAAGAGAAAAAAAAATAGATTTTACAATCTACAGTATTTTATTATGGAAGCCCGTTTCCGCCAAATGAAAGTAAAAAATGTCAAACAGAAAGTCGTAACTATAAGATTCAACTTCATAATTTACATAAGTTTCAAAATCATAATTATGAGTTAAAAAGTAATAATTTCAAGTTTCAAAATCATAATTATGGCTGTGAAAGTCATAATTATGAGATATTCGACTTTCAAACTTTGTATCTCTAATCATGACTTTGAAATTCAAAATTATGACTTTGTATCTCATAATTATGATTTTTTTTAAATCTCTTAATTATTATTTTGAAAGTCGAAATTATTAATTTGTAGCGCATAATTATTACTTTAAAACTTGAAATTATGACGTTGAATCTCATAATTATGACTCTATTTCGAATTTTTTACTTTCATTTGGAGGAAACAGGCCTCCATACATTTCTGCCAAATGAAAGTAAAAAATGGCAAATAAAAAGTCATAATTTCGATTTTCAAAGTCATAATTATGGCTTTAAAAGTCATAATTATGAGATATTCGACTTTCAAACTTTGTATCTCTAATAATGACTTTGAAATTCAAAATTATGACTTTGTATCTCATAATTATGATTTTTTTTAAATCTCTTAATTATTATTTTGAAAGTCGAAATTATTAATTTGTAGCGCATAATTATGACTTTAAAACTTGAAATTATGACGTTGAATCTCATAATTATGACTCTATTTTGCATTTTTTACTTTCATTTGGCGGAAACAGGCCTCCATACATTTCTGCCAAATGAAAGTAAAAAATGCCAAATAAAAAGTCATAATTTCGAGTTTCGAAGTCATAATTGTGGCTTTAAAAGTCATAATTATGAGATATTCGAATTTCAAACTTTGTATCTCATAATTCTGACTTTCTATTTGGCATATCTGGCAGAAAGGGACTTCCATATTTTATAGACTAATTAAATTAGTTTAAATCAGGGGTGAGCATGTTTCGTTAATTTCTCCTCATGATGAGCCTTCTTTACGATTTCAGCTGTAACTTCTATGGTTTTATTATCTCGTCTTTTATTTTAATGAATGAAATATATATTTTTTAATCATCAAAGAGTGTAAATTAGAATTAATGATGTTTAAAAATTCTCAACAAAATGGACGATTGGTCGAAATATTTATTTTTTTATTTTCTCCGTAACAGCTGGAAGTTCTTCATCCTTATCTATGCATTACCAAATGTAAAGAATGGTTTTATGGTGAAAAACCTTTAATTCAGAGAAGTGTTTTTTTCTCCCTGATTTTTTATTTTATTTTATTAACATGTGATTTATTTTTTAATTGACCATTTTCTTGGATGATTACTTTCTTACATGAGTAAAACCTTTGGGTTCTACCCCCCTGCTCATCTGGAAAAGAAGTCTTAGTGGAATATTTTGAGATTTATTAAATGTGACTAAAATTAAAATGAATGATGTTTAAAAATTCCCAAAAAATGGAAGATTGGTCAAAATATTTATTTTTAATTTTCTCTATTCATTTTTCTTTTCTAGTTATTTTCTTTCTTTGATTAAATGTATTCACTGTGGAATATTTAGTGATACAAATCAAATAAAGTAAAATGTACAATACAGCATTATTTCCCTTTTCAATTACCATGCAGAGGCAAGTCATTACACAATCTGTTTGATCTGTGCTTTGAAGCTTCAGCTAAAAGCACAGATCAGATCTTCATGAGTTTTAAGATTTTAAGAAATCCCAGTATTTATGAAACTGGTGTCCTGAAGAAGCCCATTTTAAATGTGTATGGTTTTTCAATAGCAGCATCTGTTGAGCTTTTGCAGGCAGCTACAGCCATAAAGTTACCTAAAAAGATGGAAAAGGTAATGATCATTTTTGATCCTTTTATCGTTAACATGATACTACAACTAAATATTGCGATAAGCGGTTAAGTCCATATCGCCCAGCCTTTGTGGAAACATTACAATTTAATTTATATACATTTTACTTTTAAGGCATCAAGAGATTGCCTTGACATAATTCATTTATGATGATTCATATAATTTTTTATTTATTTATTTATTTATTTTGGGGGGGGGGGGTACAGCTTTTAAAAAGACAATATCAGAACATAACATCAGTTCTGTTAATGTGTTTTCATGGAAGGCATATTCAATACATCCTCTTCAGAGGTTGGTGGTAACTAGTTACATTTACTAAGTTAATGAGGAACTTTTATTGTAAGACAGATCTACCGCTCTTCAGAGATCAGCTGAATGAAATAAATATTACAGCTGGAAGTTCTTTATTACCCAATGTAAGATTAAGTATCTTTATGTTGAAAAACACACTAATTCAGAAAAGTGTTTCTTCTGTCTGATATTCTATTTCATCTCCATTCTATTTACCTGTATTTGTTTACTTTTTTTTTATACCCTTAATTGATCATTTTCTTCTTGCATGAATAAAATCTTCTTTCTACCCCTCTCTGTTCATCTGACAAATAAGTCTCAGTAGAATATCCATGCATCCATTTTCTGTCTTGCTTTATTCCAAGCGAGGGGTGCTGTTGCCTGCCTCCAGCTGTCAACCGGCGAGATGCGGGAAACATCCTGGACAGGTCGCCAGTCCATCGCAGTCTTAGTAGAATATTTTCCCATTAATTAAATGTGATTGAACTATCATGTCTGAGTATCCAATTGTGCCATGCATCAAACCACTTTGCTTGAATCAATCTATATTCACTGTATCTAGCATTGGATTCTGTCTGATATCTGTGTATAACCTATTGCAAAATCTGAAAAAAAAAAAAAAAAAAAAAAAAAAAAAAACACTTTTCTTAAATTAAAACTTCTGATTAAAATGATCATTTAAATGCTGAAATGCAGCCAGCATACTAAATACATTTTTTAGAGGTAGATGACTAAAGCCTGCCCAGGTTGTTTAATACAATTTCTTTCTAAGAGTTTTCCTCTGGTCTTTATTATTCTTTTAAATACTAATTTCAAATGGGATATTTGATCTTGGCTGGTTCACAATAACATCCACTTCTGAGAAAAATAGCTCCAACGGCCCTCCGTGGAACATCCAGAGGTTTAGTAATACTAATTGTATGCTATGCCATTAGTAAGGTCTGCACAATCACTTATAGCATTGGCTTTATCAACTCTACCACTCTATGAAACATGCTGGAAATATATATAAAAAAAGTTTTTATATGTCATTGGTAAATAGTAAACCAAGTGAAACTAATTTGCTAGTTGCAGCAAAAATGTTTGCTAAATACTGATAAATTTCATCTGGTGTGTTGGTTTTCCATATTCATCCCTCCATCTGTTTCATCTTTATTTCCTGCACTGTTCCATCTCTTTAAGCTGGAGTGTATTTAACGGAATTATTTGTTTACATTTCTCTATGTTTTTTTGCACTAACAAAATATGTTAGTGAAATTAATAAAATATTATTTTTTTTATCTCAAACTGTATTTTTATCATGTCTTGTTTGGTCATCATCACTGTTATTTACGTCATGAGTCTATCAGATCAAATCAATCAGCTAAATTCATCATTCCTTATTGAATGATCCACAGAACTACAAAAGCATCAGCAAAGAACTACAAACCGTACACGTATGACGTCACTTTTGAAAGACGGACCCCAAACATGAGGGATATTACTCTTATTTAATTCACGCTCCTCTTAGATCACGGTGGTTTGTTAAGAAGTTGGCCAGATTTAGTATTAAGCTGATATTAATGAGGTATAAGCAGCAGAAGCCTGCGTTAAGCTGTTTTTCGTGGTCGTGATAAATTGCATCACCCGCTCCGTAAGGACCCCATCTCTAACTTTGAAGAGTTTCTTCATTTAAAACAGCGGAATTCTGTATATTAATTTATTTTGTTTACATTGTGATAATTCCTTGTTATTTATGGAGAGTAAACGTTTAAATAAATTTAAAAGACTACATATATCTGTTATTTTTCATGTGTTCAGGCGGAACCGCCTCTTCCGTTCCCTTTTCATCCAAGATGGCGGGTGATGAGTCTGGAACAACGCTCGGTCAGCCTCACTTGGCCAGACAGGACCTCAGCACTTTGGTCAGTATCTTCTTAGCAACATTTACAGATTGTTGGGTGTGTGAGTCTAGCTTTGAGGGGCTTATTTGGTTGATAAAAGACCAAGAAAGGTGAAAACAGACGGTGGTCGAGGCGCCGCAGCCTCTAACCGGCACATGACGGCAGGCCCAGCGGGGAGGAGATCCTTTAAATCACCGTGTATCTCCCAAACATCCGATTCTTGTTAGTTGTGTGTATATTATTATTATTTTATTGCTTCTGTTGTTTGGTAGCTTCAGACCAGGGGTCTCCACAGCCATTAATCCTTCTCATTGGTGTCCTAGTCAAAATCTGCTCTAGAAATGTGGAAAATAGCCTCAGATTTCACAATGCAGCTTTAGGTATATGCTAGCTAGAAAAACACAGCGCAAAGAAGACAATGGTTTTTTGATCCATTAAAGTAGCTTTGTGATGGTAACTGTTATTGGAGATGGGCTGTTATTTAAAGATACAGGGTTCTATTGAATACACCTCCAGTCTAGTCTGTTAGTATAAAATAAAAAGTGCTAAAAGAAGATGCTGTAATGATATTTATTCTAACATGGAGGCCCAGCTCTGCTTGTATTAAGCCCTCTTTAAGCCATTTTCACCTCACCACAGTCCTTCAGTCTGGCCTATACCAGATGCAGGGGATGACATGTGACAGGAGAGCAGATTATTTGAGCTGAAGATGAGGAGAAAATCAAAGTTAGGACTTGCGGACAAGTGGTTTGTTTGCCTCAGGTTATGCGATTGCAGTGTGGTAATCCAGGGTTAGACATTAGGAATGCTGCTGTATTTCATGTTAATCCCTTGGCTGCGCCCCTTTGTGTCTGACCTGTGCTCTCCCTCCAGGACGTGTCCACCCTCACGCCTTTGTCTCCAGAGATCATCAGCAGACAGGCCACCATTAACATCGGTACTGAAATCAGGCCCTGTGTGCCTCAGTGTTTGTGGGTAACATTGTTTTCTAAACTGCTTCTTTTTTTTTTCCTGTCTGCCAGGCACCATCGGTCATGTGGCCCACGGAAAGTCCACAGTAGTGAAGGCCATCTCTGGTGTTCACACCGTCAGGTTCAAGAACGAGCTGGAGAGAAACATCACCATTAAGCTCGGCTATGCTAACGCTAAGGTGCGTGAAGCCGGTTTTATGTAACTTCTTATTAGATGTGACACCCGTCCTCATCTGTGTAGCTTCCAGAACCAGTTAGTGGCCCAGGTGGTTACTGTTGTCTCTCTGTCCCCTCTGGCTCCAGGTCTACAAGCTGGACGACCCCAGCTGTCCCAGGCCCGAGTGCTACAGGTCGTGTGGCAGCAGCACCCCGGATGAGTTTCCCACAGACATCCCTGGAACCAAAGGCTCCTTCAAACTGGTCAGGTGAGGAATCGCTCCTGCTGCTGCTGCTGGTTTTAAAAGCTAAGGCTGCTCTAGAAAACATGTTCAAAGCTCTACTCCAACTAAAAAGGACATAATCAAGCTGTTTACTACTATCTAATGTGTCTCTGTCTTATCATTTTGGGGTCTTTTTATATATTTTAACTTGATTTTAGTTTTTTCATTATTTTTTCTGGGACTGATTAAAGCTATCTAATCGTATCCTAATTCTTACCTCAGAATTGGAGGCATATATTAAGCAACTGTCATAGGCTTCTGTCTAAGGCTACGTTCACACTGCAGGCCTTAATGCTCAATTCCGATTTTTTTGTGAAATCGGATTTTTTTGCGTGTCCGTTCACACTTCCAAGTATATGCGACTTGTATGTGATCTACTGTGTGAACTGAAAGCGTTCAACCGAAGTGTCCCGCATGCGCACTCGAGGACGCGATGACGTCACATGTAGCAAGCGTCCTCAGTGTTTGCGGAAGTAAACATGACTCGTAATACCGCAGCGTATATTGCGTTCTTTAAGTTATTCTCCAACAGGAGCAGGCACATTACGAACGAAATCTTTTTAAGAAGATCAAAAAAGAAAGACCCTCCCCCGGTTCCGGTAAGACCCTTCGAGTTTGGTCTGAATCGAGCTATCTTTCCAAATATAAATTAAGTCAGCAACCTTACTTTCTCTCCATTGACTGCTCTCTGTGTTATCTTCCGCCATGGTTGTTAGTTTTTCCCACCTCCGCTTAGTAGGACGCAGATTAGTAACGTTTAGTAACATTTGTCAAGTATCAATGACGTGTAGGTCGGATGACAGACACAGGTCGCATTTGAAAAGATCAGATACGTATCGGATTCAGGACCACATATCCAAGTGGCCTGGGTCGCGTTTGAAAAAATCCGATCTGTGTCGTTCAGACTGTCATAAAAAGATCAGATACAGGTCACATATGGGCAAAAAAATCGGAATTGGGTCACTTCAGGCTGCAATGTGAACGTAGCCTAACCCCAGGCTCACACCGACTCCGGTCTTACCGTTGCGATGCGGTGGGTGCGGCGCCGCAGTGATTCCAAGTCATTAAAAAGACGTAAACCTCTCTCACCGTCTGCTGAGCTGTCCGGCTGCGGTTACCGAGACACAAGAAAGCTATCCTTGCGGCGTGCCGGAGCCCTCCGCAACAAGCTCTCGCAAAAATCCTTTATTTGGGCCGTGTTATCGCGTGAAGTTACGTGAACTCAAGTGAACTTCTGTTAAATCTCCGGACCTGTTGCCGGAGCCGCAGAGCCGCACCGCACCGTAGTCAAAAGGGCGGTGTGAGAGGGGGTGTGCGGGAGTTGCGGTCTCCGTCGGCTCGGTAACTGCACCGGAGCCAGTGTGAGCAAGGGGTAAGTGTGCATAGTAACTTCTTTGGGTCATAGGTCATCCACTCGCACCTGTCAGTTCTTGCTCCTGTTCCATACCGGTGGATAATGCTAACATTTTGTTAGCGTTAGACAGGGTTGTCAAGTATCAAAGTACAAATACTCTATTATCTAAACTTTACTGGAGTAATTATTTTTTAAGAAAATAATTAACTTCTACTCCCTAACTTTTTTTTTTTGCAATTATCTCTACTTTTTACTCCTACATTTTAGAAATAGACTTGTTTGGTTTGTTTCTTTTCAGCTCATTCTTGTTATGGACTTTTGGTATTAAAAAAATAGAAAACATCAAAACATAATTTCTTTGTGGTTGGACTCGGTGCTGCCCCAACTTGTTGTTCACCACCTACCAAAATAAGTAGTTTTTCAAGATGGTGTAGAGTTAAATGGGACACTTACCATCAGTTATAAAGCTAAGAAAATTAAGTATAAGGAAGTTATCATCCAGAATTGCACAAAACTCTTCCTTCAATAGAGTAGTGCAGTAACCAGTATGAGGTTTAAAGCAACTGTCCTGGATCCTGCATTATGTTTATTTGTATATTTGGTCTTTAGTAAAAACTTTAGTAAAAAAGTTCTACAAAAGTGTTTTTAAATGGTAGGATTTTTATTTTTACATGAACAAACATTTATAATTTTGGCACCTCTGACATTAATTAGTCATGTGAGGAATGAAAGCAATGCTCCCCTTTGCTTCCTCAGGACGGCACCGACGACCAAACGTTTGGCTTCATTGTCGTCTTTTATTTATATATATATATATATATATATATATATATATATATATATGTATATGTATGTATATGTATATATATGTATATGTATATATATGTATATGTATATATATGTATATGTATATATATGTATATATATGTATATGTATATATATGTATATGTATATATATGCATATGTATATATATGTATATGTATATATATGCATATGTATATATATGTATATGTATATATATGCATATGTATATATATGTATATGTATATATATGTATATGTATATATATGTATATGTATATATATGTATATGTATATACACTATATTGCCAAAAGTATTTGCTCACCCATCCAAATTATTGGAATCAGGTGTTCCAATCACTTCCATGGCCACAGGTGTATAAATTCAAGCACCTAGGCATGCAGACTGTTTTTACAAACATTTGTGAAAGAATGGGTCGCTCTCAGGAGCTCAGTGAATTCCAGCGTGGAACTGTGATAGGATGCCACCTGTGCAACAAATCCAGTCGTGAAATTTCCTCGCTCCTAAATATTCCACAGTCAACTGTCAGCTGTATTATAAGAAAATGGAAGTGTTTGGGAACGACAGCAACTCAGCCACGAAGTGGTAGGCCACGTAAACTGACGGAGCGGGGTCAGCGGATGCTGACGCGCATAGTGCGAAGAGGTCGCCAACTTTCTGCAGAGTCAATCACTACAGACCTCCAAACTTCATGTGGCCTTCAGATTAGCTCAAGAACAGTGTGCAGAGAGCTTCATGGAATGGGTTTCCATGGTCGAGCAGCTGCATCCAAGCCATACATCACCAAGTGCAATGCAAAGCGTCGGATGCGGTGGTGTAAAGCACGCCGCCACTGGACTCTAGAGCAGTGGAGACGCGTTCTCTGGAGTGACGAATCGCGCTTCTCCATCTGGCAATCTGATGGACGGGTCTGGGTTTGGCGGTTGCCAGGAGAACGGTACTTGTCTGACTGCATTGTGCCAAGTGTAAAGTTTGGTGGAGGGGGGATTATGGTGTGGGGTTGTTTTTCAGGAGCTGGGCTTGGCCCCTTAGTTCCAGTGAAAGGAACTCTGAATGCTTCAGCATACCAAGACATTTTGGACAATTCCATGCTCCCAACTTTGTGGGAACAGTTTGGAGCTGGCCCCTTCCTCTTCCAACATGACTGTGCACCAGTGCACAAAGCAAGGTCCATAAAGACATGGATGACAGAGTCTGGTGTGGATGAACTTGACTGGCCTGCACAGAGTCCTGACCTCAACCCGATAGAACACCTTTGGGATGAATTAGAGCGGAGACTGAGAGCCAGGCCTTCTCGTCCAACATCAGTGTGCGACCTCACAAATGCGCTTCTGGAAGAATGGTCAAAAATTCCCATAAACACACTCCTAAACCTTGTGGACAGCCTTCCCAGAAGAGTTGAAGCTGTTCTAGCTGCAAAGGGTGGACCGACGTCATATTGAACCCTATGGATTAGGAACGGGATGTCACTTAAGCTCATATGTGAGTCAAGGCAGGTGAGCAAATACTTTTGGCAATATAGTGTATATGTATATGTATATGTATATATATGTATATGTATATATATATATACACTATATTGCCAAAAGTATTTGCTCACCTGCCTTGACTCACATATGAGCTTAAGTGACATCCCGTTCCTAATCCATAGGGTTCAATATGACGTCGGTCCACCCTTTGCAGCTAGAACAGCTTCAACTCTTCTGGGAAGGCTGTCCACAAGGTTTAGGAGTGTGTTTATGGGAATTTTTGACCATTCTTCCAGAAGCGCATTTGTGAGGTCGCACACTGATGTTGGACGAGAAGGCCTGGCTCTCAGTCTCCGCTCTAATTCATCCCAAAGGTGTTCTATCGGGTTGAGGTCAGGACTCTGTGCAGGCCAGTCAAGTTCATCCACACCAGACTCTGTCATCCATGTCTTTATGGACCTTGCTTTGTGCACTGGTGCACAGTCATGTTGGAAGAGGAAGGGGCCAGCTCCAAACTGTTCCCACAAAGTTGGGAGCATGGAATTGTCCAAAATGTCTTGGTATGCTGAAGCATTCAGAGTTCCTTTCACTGGAACTAAGGGGCCAAGCCCAGCTCCTGAAAAACAACCCCACACCATAATCCCCCCTCCAACAAACTTTACACTTGGCACAATGCAGTCAGACAAGTACCGTTCTCCTGGCAACCGCCAAACCCAGACCCGTCCATCAGATTGCCAGATGGAGAAGCGCGATTCGTCACTCCAGAGAACGCGTCTCCACTGCTCTAGAGTCCAGTGGCGGCGTGCTTTACACCACCGCATCCGACGCTTTGCATTGCACTTGGTGATGTATGGCTTGGATGCAGCTGCTCGACCATGGAAACCCATTCCATGAAGCTCTCTGCGCACTGTTCTTGAGCTAATCTGAAGGCCACATGAAGTTTGGAGGTCTGTAGTGATTGACTCTGCAGAAAGTTGGCGACCTCTTCGCACTATGCGCGTCAGCATCCGCTGACCCCGCTCCGTCAGTTTACGTGGCCTACCACTTCGTGGCTGAGTTGCTGTCGTTCCCAAACACTTCCATTTTCTTATAATACAGCTGACAGTTGACTGTGGAATATTTAGGAGCGAGGAAATTTCACGACTGGATTTGTTGCACAGGTGGCATCCTATCACAGTTCCACGCTGGAATTCACTGAGCTCCTGAGAGCGACCCATTCTTTCACAAATGTTTGTAAAAACAGTCTGCATGCCTAGGTGCTTGAATTTATACACCTGTGGCCATGGAAGTGATTGGAACACCTGATTCCAATAATTTGGATGGGTGAGCAAATACTTTTGGCAATATAGTGTATATGTATATGTATATATATATATATGTATATATATATATATATGTATATGTATATATATATATGTATATGTGTATATATATATATATATATATATATGTGTGGCTTTAAAATAAAACTTTGAGAGGAAGCTATTTTTCAGCTCCATGTCACATGTTTACTACGATTACTGCTGGTGCAAAATCCTTTCATGTCCAAGTTTGCATCATAACCAGAAGTAAATATTGAAATATTTTAGATTCCTCTATGTATAAAACCTTTATATACTGTTATTTTTTTTACCACTCTAGATGTTCTGTGGATGTTATTTGACCTTAAAGGTGTATTTATGCTCTTTAAGCTGGTGATCCATTTGACCAGCTGGATGGATCTATAGATCTAAAATACAGTGTTTCCCACTGCCTTCATACACAGCTTTGTTTTAAAAAAAATATACATGTATGATTGGCCTACATGTTCTGAATGCTGGCGTACCATAAAGAATAAATAATGAACCGTTTAGTTTGTGTCTTCAAGTCGTTGCCCATAGGAAGACGTTACCTCGATATAACCTAACAGAATATCTTCAGAACGGCTCAAAATGACAGAAAACTCATATGAGTGAGTAGAACATGATGGAATAACGTAAAATCAAGGGTAAATGTAAAAAAACCGTGGGATACACCACGCTTAAAAATGTGCACACATGAAAACCCACGAGGATCAGAGACTCTCCCACCACAGTCTCCTAAAATCCTGTGGAAAACACTGAAATACCATAGAAGATGTTTACAAAGAGGGCAGTGGGGACGTATAAAGATTGATAAAGATGTGAGTTCAATCCAGCAGATAGTCTCATGTTAATATTAAACAATAAGTTTACAGTTTTTTTTCTTCGTGTCATCGTGCTCCTAGAATCAGCCTGAATGAAAACAGTTACAGGTTCTAGATCATCCTAATGTACAAAAGTCTGAATACATGAAGGAAACGTTACAGTTTAACATTCTGTGAAGAAACCCTCACATGTTGCTCAGATTGTTTTGATCAAACTTGATTCTTGTTTTACAAACATTTTATATACTTATTTTTGTCCTTTTACTGCAGTGATTCTGTTCAGAGGAGAATCTGAGCTCTGCAGTTCCTGAATTTGTAGCGCTTCGCTCTGCTCTCGTTTGGTTTAATAAACATATCCTTCATCATGTGACTCTGATTATGATGTAATGGCAAAAATTCGGTAGTTCCTTTAAAGAAAAACACAAACGGGTCAGAACCCGCTCCTCTGGAAGATGGTGGTAGCACTACTAGCCGTAGCTCAAACTGCTCCTCCACTCTCCTACAGACACGTGTCGTTTGTGGACTGTCCCGGCCACGACATCCTTATGGCCACCATGTTGAACGGCGCCGCCGTCATGGACGCTGCCCTCCTGCTCATTGGTAAGTCACTCTCTGATCCTGTGGGTCCTTCGCCCCCTGTGGTCCGGCTGTAAACGCTGCTGCTTCTGTCTGCCTGTCCAGCGGGGAACGAGTCGTGTCCTCAGCCTCAGACCTCGGAGCATCTGGCCGCCATAGAGATCATGAAGCTGAAACACATCCTGATCCTCCAGAACAAGATCGACCTGGTGAAGGAGAGCCAGGCCAAGGAGCAGTACGAGCAGATCCTGGCCTTTGTTCAGGGTGAGCGTCAGCGTCTAATAACTCTGCTCTAGATGGTCCTGGTTCCTCTCTGATGGCCGTTTGAGCCGATCATGACCCATTTTCAGGGTCAGATTCTTTGTTTGAAACCTTGAACAGCGGCCATGATGCAATAGGAGAAGCAGACTCACAGGCACCATATGCTGTGGTTTCAGCATTTTGTTACCTGTGGTTTTTTGCTTCTATTTTTAGCGGTTATCGCAATTATTATAATTTTTTTTATTTTGTGCAGCATTTTTCTATTGCATTTGTTTATGTCTGCTTGTTGTGGAGTTTGTATCACACGGTAATGCAGCTTGTTTCTTTTTTGCTGCACGTTTGCACCCATCAGCCATCGTACTAATACGTTTTAAGACCTATTGTATTTCATCATTACTTTGTTTTTATTTCACATCATATTCTGCAGATCAACATCCAGGAAATCCTTTTTTAAGCATGTTGGGTGTTTTTCTTTATACCAAAACCTAGGGATATAAAAAATGTTGGTTCTTCAAAATGGAAATGCGTTTCCTTCAGCAGATATTAAACAAAACAATAATAAACTATCATTTTTTTAAGTTTTTACAGCTCTAGTGGCTTGTTTTTCTGACAGTAGGCTGATAGAGACATGTGGCAAAGGACCACAACCCCAGTCAGCCGTGTCGAGGACTAAGGCCTCCATACATGGATCATTCGCGCTAACCACTGTGCCACCTGCACATCCAATTAACTATCTGTAATTAAAGATTTGTGATATTTTCAGATCTAATCAATTTATTCCGCTGCTCTCAGGGCAGAAAGGCTCTTTGGATGTTAAAGGTTGCAGCCGTCCTGATCTAGACATTGTAACCCTCCTCAGGCTGCTGAGAGGGAAGCTTCAGGCCAAGTCTGTGCCAAGTTTTATACATCTTCTGGAAATGTTGCATGTTCTTATTTTATCTTGCCTACTTTTAGGTTTCTTAGAGAAATTGGCTTCTGATTACAGAAGTACTTAATTTTGAATTAATTGTTTGGTTGTTTTTAATTTTGGTTTGTCTTCCTTATATGTTTAGATTAAAGGTTTGATTCTCTGTCGATATTCAGACTTGAGCTGCAGCTGCAATAAAATCTGTATTTTTAGGCTTTATGTGCGCCTTAAGGAGGGAACCGATGCCTGTGTTGTTTCTCCTGCAGGCACAGTCGCAGAGGGAGCTCCCATCATTCCCATCTCAGCGCAGCTGAAATACAACATCGAGGTGGTTTGTGAGTACATCGTCAAAAAGATCCCTGTCCCCGTCAGAGACTTCACCTCAGAGCCCAGACTCATTGGTATGAAGAAAGGCCACCAGTTGCTCCTCGTCTCTGTCCTGCTCTGGTCCTCATCTGTTAAACGTCTGCTTCAGTCATCAGGTCCTTCGACGTGAACAAACCGGGCTGCGAGGTGGACGACCTGAAGGGAGGCGTGGCGGGAGGCAGCATCCTGAAGGGCGTGCTGAAGGTAGAGACTGGCGCTGTAAACGGCTGCTGAGGTTCAGGCTCTTATCTGAAACCTGGTTGTTTTGTGTTTGTCTGACCTGTAGGTGGGTCAGGAGATCGAGGTCCGCCCTGGAATAGTGTCCAAAGACCAGGAGGGAAAGCTGATGTGCAAACCCATCTTCTCTAAGATCGTGTCTCTGTTTGCTGAACACAATGATCTGCAGTACGCCGCACCAGGAGGCCTCATCGGTGAGGGACGCCGTGCATCGGGCGCTTTCATTCAGCGTCGCACATTTAGAACCATTTGGACTCATTCTGGGGAAGAAGTTCAGGAAAAAGGATGATTAGAGTGTGATTTAAACCAGGGAAGCAGACTTTCTGCTGTCTGGATTTCTGAAAACTTATTTCTATTTTTATCTGATCTTATCATTTTTTTCTTCTTCATTCTAATCTATGTCCTTTCCTTGTTTCCTTGCGCCGGTTATTTCTCCCTTTCTTCCTTCAGTGTATCCTTTGTGTCTGTCCTTTGTTCCTTCCTACTGTTCCCCCTTTCATCCTCTTCCTTCCTTCCTTGCTTCCTTCCTACTGTTCCCCCTTTCATCCTCTTCTTTCCTTCCTTCCTACTGTTCCCCCTTTCATCCTCTTCTTTCCTTCCTTCCTACTGTTCCCCCTTTCATCCTCTTCTTTCCTTCCTTCCTACTGTTCCCCCTTTCATCCTCTTCTTTCCTTCCTTCCTACTGTTCCCCCTTTCATCCTCTTCTTTCCTTCCTTCCTATTGTTCCTCCTTTCATCCTTTTCTTTCCTTCCTTGCTTCCTTCCTACTGTTCCCCCTTTCATCCTTTTCTCTCCTTCCTTGCTTCCTTCCTACTGTTCCTCCTTTCATCCTTTTCTTTCCTTCCTTGCTTCCTTCCTACTGTTCCCCCTTTCATCCTTTTCTCTCCTTCCTTGCTTCCTTCCTACTGTTCCTCCTTTCATCCTTTTCATTCCTTCCCTGCTTCCTTCCTACTGTTCCCCCTTTCATCCTCTTCTTTCCTTCCTTCCTACTGTTCCCCCTTTCATCCTCTTCTTTCCTTCCTTCCTACTGTTCCCCCTTTCATCCTCTTCTTTCCTTCCTTCCTATTGTTCCTCCTTTCATCCTTTTCATTCCTCCCTTGCTTCCTTCCTACTGTTCCCCCTTTCATCCTTTTCTCTCCTTCCTTGCTTCCTTCCTACTGTTCCCCCTTTCATCCCTTTCTTTCCTTCTTTCCTTCCTTCCTACTGTTCCCCTTTCATCCTTCTCTCTCCTTCCTTGCTTCCTTCCTACTGTTCCTCCTTTCATCCTTTTCTTTCCTTCCTTCCTTCCTTCCTACTTTTTTCGGTTCCTTATTTTCTGTCTTGTTTGCTTCTGTTTTTCTTAGTTTTTTCTGTCGCTTCCTTCCCTCTATCCCTTATTTCCTTCTATACTTCCTTCCTGCCAGAAATGAATCTGATTTATTATGAATTAGTGAATTTCTGAGCTGTTATTTGATGGAATTACAGTTTGAACAATTGGAGGAAACTAAAAGCGTCTCTCCGTGTGTCCAGGTGTGGGAACAAAGATCGACCCCACGCTGTGCCGAGCAGACCGTATGGTGGGTCAGGTCCTGGGAGCTGTCGGAGCGCTGCCAGAGATCTTTACAGAGCTGGAGATTTCCTATTTCCTCCTCAGAAGGCTGCTGGGAGTCCGCACAGAGGGGGACAAAAAGGCTGCCAAGGTGAGGCCAGCGTCGTTGGGAATGTAGTCCTAACTCCCCTGAAAGCTGTTGCTTATTGACCATCTGCCCTCCCCCCTCAGGTCCAGAAGCTCTCCAAGAACGAGGTGCTGATGGTAAACATCGGCTCGCTGTCGACGGGCGGGCGAGTCAGCGCCGTCAAGGCTGATCTGGCCAAGATCGTCCTCACCAACCCTGTGTGCACCGAGGTCGGAGAGAAGATCGCGCTCAGTCGGCGTGTGGAGAAGCACTGGCGGTAAGGGGCAGCTGTCCTGGAGGGCCAATCAGTGTCTGAGGGGTGCCGCTGATGGACTGTGTCCCTTTAAGCCTCCTAACATCAGTCTAGATGAGGACAGGCAGGCAGATCATCTGTTTCTGGAAGGAGAGACGGTCTGAAGACTTCCTGGTTCTGTTTGGATCCAGAATCATTAGCAAGATTAAAGAATAATTTAAGATTAGAGGCTTTTAGTCTCTGAAGATGATAATCTGAGTCTGAGCAGAGCTCAAGGTGAAGCTGCTTTTAGAGGAGGGCCAATTTAAAATCCTTCTGGAAGTGTTCTTATTTAGTTTTAGTCAGGGTTCCCATGCCTCCTTAAAATCCTCTAAAAACTTCTTGAATAAAAAAAAATTCAAGCAAAGTTTTTCCAACTACCCATAAATAATGAATGTGTTAAACTTCCCACCTTTGGTGACCGCTGCTAAACGGTTTTTATTTAGTGTAGCAGTGGATTCTCATTTCCTCTACATAGAGAACATGTTAAACAGGACATGCATCTTCTAGGCGGTGAACAGTCATAAAGTTGGTTCCCGATCCACGCCTGAAACTTCAGGAAGTCTGCTTCGCCATGTCAGGGTGTCCTAAATAAATGACCATTCTGCTGTTTGTTAATGGAGGGGAGTTTATTACATGGTTGTTTTAAGCAAAGAATGTGTTTAATGAATGGGAATTTATCAAAAGGCTTAAAAAGGAACTTTGCTGGGGTTTTTTTTTTTATTTATTTACATTTTTTTTGTCTTTTAGGAATTTTTTATTATAATTGTTTTTTCATATCTTTTTTAATCATTTTTTTTTTTTTTAGATTGAGTTTCACTGATTTTTAGGGATCATATTCTCCTCACTTCTTGGGCTTTTCTCAGAAAGGAGGATCTTGGCCACATTTCTATTGGTCCTCATGGTTAGCATCTTTATTGGTCAAGAGTGAGCGTTAATGTTTGGCTGGAATGAGGGAGATGTGATTTGTAAAATGCAGTTGCCTGGTTCTGCTGGAGTTTTCTTCCCATTAAAAGGGAGTCTTTCCTCTCCACTGTCGCTACAAGCATGCTTGGTGTGAGGGATTGCATTTGAGTTGATGCAATCAACTGGTTTTCCTTAGATAGAAAACTTTGTGAATTGGAGCTATAGAAATAAACTGAAATTAATTTAAGAACACAATAGGTAAAATTCAATCTGAAAGACATTTAATAAAACACAATTTGAAAATTTTAAATCTGTTAAAAATTGGATAAGATAAAGATTTAAGGAAAATAAAATCTGAGAAAAGGCCTAGGTTACTCATCTTTTTGTTTTGTTTTTTTTTTTTTTTGTTTTTCAAAGTTTCATTTCTAAAAAAAAATTTTCTTTTCAAGAATAAAGGAAAAAATGTTCCCTCTATAGAGGTTAAGCCTACATGAGGCTACGATAAATAAACCCTTTGCCAAACGTTGAACTTCAAAGCTCCACAGAGGCCTCCTCGCCATCGCTAAACTGATTGATGCATTGAAGACCTGAATGATGACTTTAATCTTTGTGGATGATGATACAGGCTATATATTCAAATATATTTATATATTTGATGCTGATCTGTTTTTCAATGAATTCTTTTCAAAAAATCTCTTATTACTTTTGCATGCAAAACATTTCCCGACATGATTGAAACACATTTGACTAAAAACAAGAAATCAGATTCTGCTGTTTTTGAACATAATTAATCTTTAGAAATATCTGATTGAACTGTAAATGTGTGGTAGAAACATGATGGGTTTAATTTTCTGATGACCTCTGGCCTCTAAGAGGAAATGTGTCATTTTGATGTCTGGTGCTCATTCAGAATAACCTGATTACATGTCCGCTAATCAGGTGGTCAATCTGTATAAACCACCATTTACTGGAGTTCTGTGTCGACTCGTCATGTGATAAACTGGTGTAGTGTAGAGGGCTCTGAGTCAGCTTTATGTTTTAAAACTGTTTACATTGTAAAGCTGCTATTGTTTAAAGCTTAAGGCTTGAGATCTGTTAAATGATCATCTGTAGTTGAGTTGAAATGTTGACCTGTTTCTCCTGTTTGTTGCTCTCAGGCTGATCGGCTGGGGGCAGATCAGGAGAGGCGTGACCATCACACCAACGGTGGACGACGACTGAGACACGTCAGCCGGACCGCTCCAACACCCCCACTCCTTTAGGATTTGTTTTTTTTGTTTGTTTTTTTTGCAACTGGGACATTTCACTGGTTTAAAGATGCCTTCTAGATCTCTGCTGGAGGAGGAGCTCCTATGCAGCAGGAATCCAGATGATGCAGAGGACTTCCTGCATTGGCTTCAGATTTAACAACCAATAAAATACATTTGGAAGGATCTTCTGTGTCCCTGAGCTTTTCTTGGTGACTTTAAACTGGATAAAGAATAAAGAATTAACTAGTGATAAAACTCAGAGGGGTTAAAGCTCGGAGTGTAATTTATTTATTCTCAGTGGTAGTTAAGTCTGTCCTGCATGTTTTTCAACCAATTACTGATGGGCTTAATCACCATATTCTGCAGGAGTGAGGAAGTGTTCATTTAAAGTTCTGCATTTCCATAAAAGGAAACGTCTGAAACATCCAATAAATAAGCCCTGCAGGACTGTAACCTTCTTAACGTATAACGGCTCAGAATGAATTTAAGCTACAACATCCCTTAGAAAAAATGATGAAAATAGACGTTTCTTTACATGTTCCTCCTGAAACGCCTTACTTTATCTAAACCGTTACCGTAAGGCTGTTCTTCCAGGCTTTCTGATACAGGGTAAAAAAATAAAATTAATGTCTAAGTGATGATTTAAAATGTAATACTTTATAATGAAGTAGATCTTTATAGTTTTAAACTTAAATGGAAAAATAATTTTCCATCTTAATTGGTCATACCTATGCATCATAGATCAGGGGTCAGGGCTATCCACCCTTATAGAGTTGATTGGTCTGTAGTAGGGATGCACGATATAATCGGCCCCCTATCGGCATTAAAACTGAATATGGGACATCGGCCACCCCACCGATATTTAACCCGATATTTGATCAGCTTCTGAGTTTCAAAAGTCTAAAAATAAAGTACTACTACTTCGTCTTCCTCAAAAACTTTTTACAGACTTAAAAACTTCTAAAGACGAGGGAAAAAATATTGATACATTAAAATATCCCAATATCTTCATATGCTGATATATTGCCATTTAAAAACACCATATCAATCTCTTTTACTAATGAAATATTGCTATATGTCATCGTTATGCTACGAAATCCCCCGATATTTTTATATGTTGATATATTGACGCGGTATCGATCTATTTTACTAACAAAATCTCACAAGAATTTGCAAAATATCACGAGAGTTTGTAACAGAACGATGAAATTTCACGAGATTTTGAAAGTAAAATAGATCGATACCGCGTTTTTAAAAATCAATTTGATATCAGCATATGAAAATATATTTGAGTTTATTATTTTTCAAAGTGTCAGAAATGGATAACAAAACTGCTATTTTCAATGAATACTTATTTTTGTCCAGCTTTAACATCGATATCGGTTATCGGCTACATGAGTTTTAAAATATCGGCATATCGGCCAAAATCCCAATATCGTGCATCCCTAGTCTGTAGTGACTGATGAGATAAACAGTTACAAATAATTCTAACATTTAATCATTGTTATTTTGAGTTTCACACAATTTGTTTTTAATTTAGCATTTTAATTATACATGTCTAATGGCTAAATTTCAAATGCATAATATATATAATATATATATAATATATATAATATATAATATATCCCAAAAGTAAATTAAACATTAGAAAGAAATGAGACAAAATCATAAAAAAAAAGATGCATCATGTTCTCAAACTGAATAAAATAAAAATTAGGCACTAAGAATTTAAATATACCCATTTTCTCTAATCTGGTAAATAAAAACCAGGCTGGTTAAACTTGTCGGATTATTAATCTTTCAGCCGTGCCATCATTTAGCTAAATAAGCAACCATACAAACAAAAGGGAATTTTTAAAAAGTAACAAAAGCAATCCCTCAAAAATTTCAGGAACTGCAAAAAGTCCCAAAATGTAAACCTATTCTTCCTAATCTTTTGGTCAATAGGCAAATAAAATAAAAATAAAAACTCTGTTAGTTCATTTTTCAGTAGGACTGTTTACTAAACAAATACTGTATTTTACAAATATTCTCTGTTGATCCAGAGAAAAACACGTTACCCAAAGCTTCATTTCCTCTAAAAGCTCAGGAAGTTTCACTCCAACACTCACCTGTCATAAGAATCTTCCAGGCGCTATTTTCCTATTGATGATGGTACTATGAGGATATTTTCTGGAGTAGATATTGAATTAACAGATCATCCTTTTTATGAATGAGTCTAATTTAAAACAACGGATGCTCTGCTTTACTGGCTTTTCCACAAAATCCCAAACTTAGCTGAACTTAAAAAGACTGAGATCTTTGGGACTCTGGAAAACAACATGAAATATTGAAATATAATGAAGATTATAATCATTATGGGGAAAGGTTTTATTCATATATCCTGTTTTGTAAAAAACAAACCACCCTTTCATTTCTTCATCATGACAAACCCAAACATCTGGGACTTTTTCACCTGCTAAGCCTCTAACTGTTAGAAAAAGCCCAAACTTTTTTCATTTATTGTCTTTTTTAAAGTCCTTCTATTTATTTATTCAATGTGTGTCTTTATCTATAGCCTAATCTGTATAATTACTTTTTAATCACTTCTATATTTTTCACCTTAATATGTGTGGTAGCAGGCTGCACTGGGGTCCAGATTATTAGTTTTATCACCTTTAGTGTAGGATTTAAGAGAAAAAAATAGTTTACCACAAGCTTCATTGGACTCTACGGAAAAAATAAAAAAAGTTAACTGATTTTTAAATGGTATTTCAGTATAATATAAGAAAAAAATTTAGAATTATGACTTTAATCCCAGAATTCTGATTTAAATCTCAGAATTTTGGATCCTAATCTTAAAGGGCACCATGAATGAAGAGATGTGGGAGCACTCAGCTTCACAGACAAAGATGTGATTTGTTTGGGAGGGCCAGTAACACATTGGAGGAAAATGAAGGACTTAGGCGACTTTTTACGTGCCAGATGGGTCACTATTTCATTGCTATTTCATTAACGGAAGAACAGAAGGTGATTAAAACAAAAGAGCTAGTTTCTAAAACAGACATGACAACAGCTTGATGCTAACATGTTAGCTGTAAGAATTTAGCCAGAATTCTGAGATTAAAGTCAGAATTCTGAGATTAATGTTAGAATTCTGAGATTAAAGTCAGAATTCTGAGATTAAAGTCAGAATTATGAGATTAATATTAGAACCCTGAGATTAAAGTCAGAATTCTGAGATTAATGTTAGAATTCTGAGATTAAAGTAAGAATTCTGAGATTAATATTAGAACCCTGAGATTAAAGTCAGAATTATGAGATTAAAGTCAGAATTCAGAGATTAAAGTCAGAACTCTGAGATTAATGTTAGAATACTGAGATTAATATTAGAACCCTGAGATTAAAGTCAGAATTATGAGATTAAAGTCAGAATTCAGAGATTAAAGTCAGAACTCTGAGATTAATATTAGAACCATGAGATTAAAGGCAGAATTCTGACTTTTTTTTACATAATAAACTGAAAAGTTTAAAAAAATCTGTTAACTTTTCTTGTCAGTGGCCGTAATCTTCTTCCGTAGGACTCAGACGTTGAAGTAGTTGGTAAACATTTACCCAAGGTGTTGCTGTACTTCCGGGATGAACCACCTGACGAGCGCGAGACGTGATGTCGCGCAGGTGACAGGTGTGCTGCCACCGACAAGAAGAGGTGACTTTAGAAACGTTTTATTGGATACATTTCATAGAAACTGAATCGAACGCAGAATCTAACTCATTGTCCTTCCTGGGTCGGAACTTTTCAGAGTCCAACCGAACCAGGGGCCCAGTGCCTGAACTCTCCCTGCTGCAGAGCTCAGATCTCAGTCTGACATGGAGTCTGCAGGTAAGAGGCTCCACTCAAACCAAACACTGATTTTTATCAAATGTTTTCTGTATTTTTATCCTTTATTTCTCTATAAACACAATTTAGATATTTCTCATCATTGCTTTCAGATCTGCTGTTTAAAAGCTGATTTCTATAAAGTCGTTTTATCCTTAATAAATAATAAGGAACATCCCAGGGAGATGCATGGAAATCATTTGTTTGATGTTTTCTCACAGAGATAAATAGATAAAAAGAAAACGTTTAGGGGTATGGGTGTTCGATATAGAGAAACGTCCAGCTGAGCTCTGATTGGTTGCAGGTTTGCAGATGTTTATAGTAATCTGGGTTGTTGCAGTGGAGGTTTCCATCCATGTTCCTGACAGGAACGCTGTCATGTGTGGACACACTGCATATACTGTATATATCCCCATGCACCTTTTTCTTCCTTTGGCACATTATTCTCCTTTGACTCTTTGAGCTGATGTAACAAGTAAATGTTCACTACTGTGAGATCAATAAAGGTTCAGTGTCCTGATGGAGGAAGCTTCTCCTTCAGTTTCATGGCGCACGTCTCCATCCTCTTTTCTACTAATGCTGTGAAACTTTTCTGTATTTAAGATGATGAAGAAAAGCATAATGCTTCCAACCCTGTGCTTGACTGTAAGGACAGTAGGCTTTCACTCCTACCCCGTTGTTATTTTGAACTTTTTTTTTTATGGATCTGGGCCTTAAAGACGACATGTTTTTTTTTAGCTGATCCTACATCCTCCCTTAATCTTGCTTGAGCTGCATTTTTAGGCCAGTTCGGAATATTATGAACTAATAACAAACCCATCAGAGGATCAGGGGATACTTTTGTCCTTCTGCATGTTTAATATATCAATAATCATACATTTTATCAGTAGGCCAGAGGGGCCGGGATGGAGGCAGCCAAAGACGTTCCCCCCTCGACGTCATCATGAGTCAGATCCGCCGCAAACGTTCAGCATCAGACAGGAAGCCCCTGGGACGCTTCCTGTCGCGGACGTCCGACCGGACGGGGACCCCTGAGGATGCAGAGTCTGAGAACAAAGGACGGAGTCCAGGTGAGGGGAAGAGCTGCTCTCTGTTGCATATATATATATATATAATCCTTAATTGATGCAGTAGTATTATTCTGTTTGAACGCATCAAGACATCATTTAAATAGCAAGAATGATAAGATACCTTAAAACAAACAAGACTGATGCCATGGTGGAGTGAGCTCTTGCCTAAAGTTTTGGCCCTGGAGGGGTAAGACCAAGTGTAGCAGATTAAAAATGGACAAAAGTAAGTTAAATGAACTAGAGCATCTGCTTGAC